TTCGGGTAAGCTGGCAGTTGGACAAAAGACAATGACGACCAGAGTAGGAAAGGACAATGATGATGCTAGACGGATTGTTGATTTATGAATTGGCGAACATTGACCACAATATGATTTTAGTGCTGCGACTGTGTTGTTTTGATTGTTTTAATTTGTTATAATTGTTGACGTTCTATTGTATTTTGTGAATTGTCAGGCATCAAATTGTGCCTTTTGTAAGCCGCCCTGAGTCCCCCCCTAGGGGGTTGAGAAGGGCGGGGTAGAAGCACCCCAAAAAAATAAATGAATTATTAATCTGGCTGCCAAACGTTGGACAAGTTGTAGTTTCCGGGGCGTCTTCCACGTAGAGAGCATTACAGTAGTCCAGTCTAGAGGTAACTAAGGCATGGACCACCATGGTCAAGTCAGACTTCACGAGGTATGGTTGCAGTTGGCGCACAAGTTTTAATTGTGCGTAGGTCCTCCCAGCCACAGCCGACGCCTGCGCATCAAGCGTCGGCGCTGAATCCAGGAGGACCCCCAAGCTGCAGACCTGTGACTTCAGGGGGAGTGCAACCCCGTACAGCACAGGTTGCCACCCAATACCCCGGTCAGACGAGCGACAGACCTGGAGGACTTCTGTCTTGTCAGGATCGATCCTCTGCTTGTTCGTCCTCATCCAGATCATCACAGCGGCCAGGCACTGGTCCAGTATCCTCGGGGCTTCCTTGGAGTCTGGTGGAAAAGAGTAGTGGAGTTGGGTGTCACCTGCATAGAGGTGGCATCCCACTCCAAAACTCCAGATGACCTCTCCCAGCGGTTTCATGTATATATTAAATAGCATGGGGGACAGAATAGAATCTTGCGGGACCCCACAGGTCAATGGCCAGGGGTCCGAGCAAGAGTCCCCCAGCTTCACCAAGGTCCAGTATTCTCGGGTCTTCCTTAAATACCGCTGCCTATTTCCCAAAGCAAGGTGTAATGTGCTCCCGTCTGAACTGCTGCATGGAAGATTTGCGGGTACCCCATATATTGAAAGACTGTAACAAACAGGAAGTAGAATGCATCTACCACATACTACTGTCATGCAGTTTCTATGAACAGACCCGAGCATACATAATCAACCCCCTACTAGGGCCCCCTGGTAGCACAGCGGGTTAAACCGCTGAGCTGCTGAACTTGCTGACTGAAAGGTTGGCAGTTTGAATCTGGGGAGCGGGGTGAGCTCCCACTGTTAGCCCCAGCTTCTGGCAACCTAGCAGTTGAAATACATGCAGGTGTGAGTAGATCAACAGGTAGCACTTCTGCAGGAAGGTAACAGCCCTCCATGCAGTCATGCTAGCCACATGACTTAGGAGGTGTCTACAGACAACTCCGGCTCTTTGGCTCTTGACTATTATTTCCATTATATTTCATTATTTTTATTATTATCAGATATATTATATTTATATTGGAGCCCCCGGTGGCGCAGTGGGTTAAAGCACTGAGCTGCTGAGCTTGTTGATCAAAAGGTCGCAGGTTCGATTCCGGGGAGCGGCGTGAGCTTCCGCTGTCAGCCCTAGCTTCTGCCAACCTAGCAGTTCGAAAACATGCAAATGTGAGTAGATCGATAGGTACCGCTCCAGCGGGAAGATAACGGCGCTCCATGCAGTCATGCCCATGGCCGCATGACCTTGGAGGTGTCTACGGACAACGCTGGCTCTTTGGCTTAGAAATGGAGATGAGCACCACACCCCAGAGTCAGACATGACTGGACTTAATGTCAGGGGACTACCTTTACCTATTATATTTAAATTATTGTAATTATTATAGTTAAAGGTAAAGATTTTCCCCCAACATTAAGTCCAGTCGTGTCCGACTCAGGGGTTGGTGCTCATCTCCATTTCCAAGCCGAAGAGCCGGCTTTGTAGACTCCTCCAAGGTCATGTGGCCAGCATGACTGCATGGAGCGCCATTACCTTCCTGCCAGAGTGGCACCTATTGATCTACTCACATTATTTATATATATTGTTTATATTTATATTTAGAAATTAACCTATGTATTATTAAATTATTAATAATATTTTAATTATTATTTATATTATATTTTTATTATTATCAAATTTATTATTATTGTGGTTCCGTTATGGTTATTACTATTATTATTATTCTTTGGATTATGATTATTATATTGACTATTATTTCCATTATATTTTATTATTACAGTTATTTTCATTACTATCACTATTATATTCATATTATAGTTATTATTCCATTGTATTTATATGTATTTATAATTCATATTATGTCGAAGGCTTTCATGGCTAGAATCACTAGGTTGCTGTAGGTTTTTTTCGGGCTATATGCCCATGTTCTAGAGGCATTTTCTCCTGACGTTTCGTCTGCATCTATGGCAAGCATCCTCAGAGGTAGTGAGGTCTCCCTATGACTTCCTCTCACGTATTTATACGTGGCTATCATGTCTCCTCTCAGCCTTCTCTTCTTCAGGCGAAACATGCCCATCTCTTTAAGCCGCTCCTCATAGGGCTTGTTCTCCAGACCCTTGATCGTTTTAGTCGCCCTCCTCTGGCAATGTATTATTGTATTTTATATTATGCTATATCTATCTATTATATTGTATGACTATTAATATATATTATTAGTAGTATATATTATATTGTGTGGGTATACTATTATATATAATATATGGTATGAATATTATACTATTAAATAGATGATTATATATAGTAAGATTATTATATATTATGTTGAATGGATATTATACTATTATATTGTATGGA